TCTTCTTCTTCTTCTTCTTCTTCTTCTTCTTCTTCTTCTTCTTCTTCTTCTATTTCTCCTCCTCCTCCTCCTCCTTCCTCCTCTTCCTCCTCCTCCTCCTCATTTCTCCAGCAGGCCAATCATTAGAACAAATGTTCGGTCCAAGGGACTTACTGTCCAGTTTTGAATTTTGAATTGCATACTATTTTTCTAACCAACCCATCCAACATATTTTGTCGAAACGGATTGTTACCAACTTCTAATTTCTTCCTTTGCAAAATTTGCAGTGCAGGTTTTTAATCACACACACACACGCACACACACACATACCACCACCACCCACATAGTGGCCTGGGATTAAAAGCCACCACAGAAAGGAACCTCACTGACCCTCTCCAGCTTCACTGCAGTTCTTGAAAACCCAGTTTTGAGTTGTGTGGGATTCCTTCCCAGAGACCTTAGTCCGTCTGGCCCAATACAATGATCCTTTAGGCATCAGGTTAAAACTTTACTAATCTCCCAGGCCTTTGAAGTCAAGGCATAAAGATCTTGCTTATTAATTTCATGGCTGCTGCTTGTCTGCTATTGTTATTGGCTTAGGCTTTTTTGTGATATGTTGGGCTTGTTTTAACCGAGCTGTTAGCTGCTCGAACACCCAGTCCGACGATAAGGCGAAGCATCTCTGGTTTTTTTAAAAAACAGAGCAAATGTGTTTAGATGTGATCAGGGGAGAGATGGACAGGGAAAAGCATTGGTACAAGCAATTAAAAATTAATTGAGCTTTGTTTATGCTGGTTTTTCTCTCCTACAAATCCCCCAAAAAGCATTTTATGGTAATAAAATCAATGGGACATAACATCCGACAATTCTATTTGTAGTCTGATAAAACAGCAGGGGGAAACAAGGCCAATGCAAGAATTGGTTTCAGACATGACAAAACTGGTATTGGCTTGCTGAGTTCAGAGGGAATAATTCTTAACTGGCTTTCCTGATTGCTCTTTTAAATCAGTGGCGTACGAAGACGTCTTGTTGCGATGAAAACATGAGTCCAAAAGTTGTATAAAAATGAAAGGAACCCAATTAATGATCAGAAACTCCGTGCTGAAAATTATTTCTGACTTTCTGCCTCTTAAAGTTTTAACCGTTTGTGATCATTATTGCTGGAGCTGTAGTTTGCCATCTTAATTCAAGCAGGCTTTTGATCCAGGTACATGAAGACACACGAAGTAAATGTGTGTTAGGTTTTTGTGGGTGTGCAGTTTTCCCGCCTTTTTTGCACCTATTTTATGGCTGCATTTTTTAAAAATTATGTCTTTTTTTCCCGTTGGTTTTTTTTTTCCGTTTTACGAACCGCCCAGGGTTACTGGGTCAGTTTATAAAAATTTAATAAAGGAATAAATAATTTATTTAGGGAAATTTCTCTGGCCTTGGAAGCCAAGCAGGGTCAAATCTGTTTAGTCCAGGGATGTGGGAACTGCTAGGAGGAATTCCCGAGTTGTAGAACATCCCAGAAGAAGTGGAAAGAAAATGCTGGTGTTGTGTTGCTGTGACAACTACATGAATACTACATTTTTACCCTTAAAGTTGTTTTTTTTTTTAAACCTTTTTTCCTGCCTGG